CATGGGAAACTTACCAGTGCCCACCCACTGTCAGCATCTTCAGTGAAGATGTGGTCTGTATCAGTTACTCCATTATCTACCTAAATGGAAGACTATCTGGTGAGGCTGTCAAGTGAGAGGCTGGCTTGAGGAATGAACAACACCCCTTTCATTCAGGAATATGACCTATTTCTAGAGGAATATATGACATGATTTCTTTGTTGCATTTTTTTCCAAAGGGAAGGAGACATTGGTGTAGTTTAGGCAGACATCTCTTGCTTTTCATTGACTTCAGCACACAGATAAGATGCTCAGTAAACAGTCCATGGGAAAATGAGTGGAATATGGGGTCACATAAAAATAGGTGATCTTCTTTATTGCACTCATGGGTTTCAAAAAGGTTGTTCAGTTATCTGTGGCAATGGAACAGATCTTTGGGTATCCTGAAGAGATTCTGAGTAAAGGCTAGGCTAGTTTTCAACTAGACATGGGGTCGTAGACAATCTCAGTGATGGACAGCTTAGATATTATCTTCTGGCAGTCTTATTTTAAAACTGTCTTGAATCTCAGTTTTTACTCCCCCTGCCATTTCCCCTTACTTTGTACATAGCACATATCTCAAAGTGAAAAGTGGTGTCAGTGGTGCTGGGATTCACACTTTGAGTGCCAGCTGCAGTGGAGGTGCTTGGGGGCTGCCTCTGAACTTCTGTAGGAAGAATTACAGTCTATATCTGCACAAAAGAATGACAAGTACAGGGAAAGACAGAAGCTACATAACAGCATGCTGTTGCATGTCCATAGTTTGCAGCACTGAAACTCTGCTCTAATGTGAGCGAGGCAAGGATAATTCAGCCAGCTTCTCGGAACCTCTAACATGCCCACCATATCTAGTTCAGAGTAATTAAACAGGAAAGCCAAGGACCAGAGGAAGAGGAGGCAGACAAGTCATAGGACGGCTTTAGAGTTGTGAGGGTTAGATTTTAACTGTCACCATGACACATCCTAGCATTACCTTGGAAGAAAGTCCCAGCTGATGAATTAACTAGATAAGTTTGTCCTGTGGGCATGACTGTGGGAGATTTTCTTGATGGTTAATTAATGTAGTCCAATATGGGTGGCACATTCCCTAGGCTGAGCCATGACCTGTATAAGAAAATTTACTTTTTTTATAACTGTCTTTCATTTGAATTTTCCATGGCTCCAGCCCTCTATTTCTATATATTCAGTTTGTTTATATAATGAGGTCATACAGAATTTATGTGTGCCTATATTATTGCACTTAGCATAATTCTTTTAGATATCTGTGTCACTGCAAATGGAAGGATCGCCTCTCTTAAGTCTGTGTAATATTCCACACATCTATACACACACATACACACATACCACCATTTCTTTATTCACTCATATGATGATAAACATTTAGATTATCCCATATCTTGTCACTCTCATTATTTATTTTTATTTCTCGGTACAAATGTGTGAAGACATTGACAATTTTAAGAATTCGGCACATATATGCTAAAGCAGTTCTCAAAAGACTTTCCTTTGTTATATAATCAGATAGAAAGACATTCTGTGATTGTTATAAACAGACCACTCAGACAGACTGGTTTCCTGAAAAGGGAGAGAAATGTTATGCCCCTCTGATTTTCTACTCAAAGAAAACTTCTTACTACAAATGAAAGCCCAAATCAAACATTAAAAATAACCTAATTGCTAATCACCATATTTTCAAGTGATCCATAGTTAGAGTAGAATTTAAAGCAAATACAAGCATATTAGAATGTTTTTGTATGGATCCTTCAGTTGTCTCTATCACACATAAAGCCAGCTGCACACATTCTCCTTGGTTTCAGAGAATCAGATCAGTTCACTCACACTGGACCTATTTCTCAAATGCAAACACCTTCTCTAGGCATAGTCAGAGGTGCCTTTAACATCTTTGCTGACTGAGAAAGTTCCAAAGATACACGAGTCTGTATTTTGTCTTTTTAAAATCACATCTGTAAGAAGCATTCTTGGTCAAGGAGCGATGCTTGTCACCTTCACCACTTGCACTGAGGCTCCGCAGTGTAAGCTCATATATCTTCTGGTGAAGGCCATGTACCCTCTACAGGTGCCTTCCCCCTTTCTGTGACTTCCTCCTCTCTGGATAAAATACTAAGGTGGAATAGAAGAGAGGAACAAAGTGGAATAAAAGAAGAAAGAGAAAAGGAGGTGGAGAGGAGGGGGATGGAGGTGGGCTCAAAAGAAAGCAACGAGGAGGCCTCATGACTGCATTGGAGATCCAACTCCCTTCCCTTCATTTTTAAAGTTTATTTTAGTCATCGTCACCCCCATTCTATTCTCTGAAATCTGACTTCTTCATGAGAGGTCTCTGTCCTACTTTCAATTAAAGTCAGTTTAATTAGAGTTTCTTGCATGGTGTTGGTAGGAGGTTATTTACAGGAGCATGGCAATTTGTCAGCAGCTACACTGCTGAAGGAAATGGCATCACTCCCCCAGCACCTATTAATTGCTAATATATCCTCAGAGACTGGTGTCATCTGCATTGCCCTGTCTATGATGAAATGTTTGCAGACCCAGTCCTATGCAGGTATCAGCAGTGAGTTCATGAATGCAATGACCGTGCTCTGCCCGGCTAGCTCAGTCGGTAGAACATGAGACTCTTAATCTCAGGGTCATGGGTTCCTGCCCCACGTTGGGCACCAATATGTAAAAGGAGTTCTTAATTGGTCTAGATAATAAAAGGCAGGAGTCAGATATAGAGGGAAATGCTGAGAGATCAGAAAGAAGGAGCAAGCCACAGTACACCTTACCTTATAAGCATCTCAGCAGAGACGAGAACAATTTCCTGTTTCTCCCTGCTTATATCCTGTTTCTGTCCAGCTATGGCACTTCCTGTTTGTCTGTACAGACTTCCAGACCTCTATGTTTAGCTGGTAGTAAGCTCCATTATTTGATGCCCAAACAGGCTTTATTTGTGCAAGAAAGATTCACCACATATAGCTCTCATGAGAATGACTTGTGGTTTGTTTGCTATTCTTGATGTTTGAGGCATAGTCTCACCATCTCACAAGATAGCCTTAATCTCTTTCCTGGGCTCAAAGAAGTCCCCTGCCTCCGTCTCTTGAATAGCTGACACTAAAGGCACACACCATTACATCCAGACTATAGGACTGTTTCAAGAGCAAGAAGCACTAAATATGCTAATAATATAAATATTCTGAAAAAAAACAATATATATCCGCAAAGAGACATGATCCTGGTAAAAAGAGGGAGGGAGACATGTGTGTACTTGTGTGATGAACTCTCTAGGCAACTCCATTGCATAAACAAAGGAAACTTCAGAGGAGTAACTGTGCTGTGAGCTCATCTGTTATTTTCAAAGCAGTGATAATTTATAACACAGCCAGTAGAATAGTCAATTTATGAAACCATTCATAGCCATGCTGAAGATCTTGGATGTACTTTGTACAACTTGGAATATTCTTAAGATATAATGCAAACTTTTTTGAAAGCAGAATATTGGTTTCTTGCTCACCTTTCTTGAGTAATTTCCAAAGTTATTAAATGTTTCAAAATGTAATTAATTCCTCTATAATGCAATATCCTTATGGGTTGTTTTCAGGTTTTCCCACTCATATATAATGTTGACATAAACTTTTTTTAACCTAATGTTATTTTCAGATTCAGGTTTTTTCCTTTGATAAATGTCTTATAATTTCTGGTTTAGAAAAGGTGACCTTTTATTATAATTACTGATTCATAGGGTGCGACCCTTGATGTTTTCTGCCAAATTGGTTTCCATAATCCACAAAGATTTATGTGATACTTCAAATTTCTCTAGTATTCTTAGTTATTTTTAAAGTTATAATTATTCAACAAACTTTTAAATTTGAAATAAAACAGTTATTAATGCCTTCTGGTACTAACGCACAGGTTCCTTTAAGGTTCTAAACACACCATTACAGGATGACATGATTCCTGCCTTGCTGCTCACTGTGTCACCAAGCCTGACATTGGAGAAACAGACGTTTAGAAGCAAATTGCAGTATGCTTTGAGCTGATAGGGTTATGACAGAGTGCAGTGGGAATTCAGCACACTGACAGCATAATTGTGGTGATGCACCAGACGGGCTAGATAATACACTTTTCATTGGATCATCCTCTCCCAACTCCCAATGGTGTTATTAACTTGGGGCACATCTGCAGGGGAAGGACCTGCTCCTATCCCATCAGAGTTCAAATATGACCTGTACCTGATGGAGATAAAGAAGTGAGATTCACTGTGGTGGTTAGTGTTAGCTATCAACAGCATGATATCTAAAATTGCCCGAGGGACTGTGCCTGTGGGGGATTGCTATGCAGTAATCCTCCTGTACACTATGAAAATGTGTTGCTCTCCTTGTTAATAAAATGCTGATTGGTCAATAGCTAGGCAGCATTTTCAGGACAGAGAGAATGCTGGGAAGAAGAAGGGCAGAGTCTGAGGAGTCTCAAGCAGACGTAGAGGGAAACAAGATGTGTGTGTGCCATGTTGAAAGAAGGTACCACCATGTGGCAAAAGGCAGATAAGGAATATGGGTTAATTTAAAATGTAAGAGTTAGCTAGTAACAAGCCTGAACTATCAGCCAAAATTTATAAATAATAATAAATCTCTGGATGGTTATTTGGGAGTGGCTACCCAGACACATAGAAACTCTGCCTACAGGTGATTATCTTTCTCATATATTTTATTCCCTGGGGAGGGGGATCCCTAGAAAGGGAGGCCAGCAGAATGCATTCATCTCTCTCTGCTGACTGAGTCTGGGTGCAACATGTGCAGCTACTTCAAGATCAGCCTCTTTGACTTCCCCACCACGGTGCATTGTAGCTTTGAACTGTGAACCAGACTGAACCTTCAACCTCTTAAATCGCTTTTGTCAGAATATTTTAACACAGCAACAGAAAAAGAAACTTAGACATGTACCCTAGTGTATTGTCAAGGTCTGGCACCATTTATGTATTCCTTTCACAGATCCAAAAATAAGCTTCCTTCCAGGGACACATACACTCATCCTGAATCTGTAACCAGGCCTGGTTTCCCAGCACCTCCGCCTCTCTCACTGCATAGACCAGAAGATGGATACCAATATGCTGAAAGTCTTTCCTCCAACCTGGAAATGCAAATCTCCAAGGAAAGTAAAACATCAGCTGCCACAGATACCAGTCTATACTCTCCTTTCCCTTGCATATGTGTGTGTGTGTGTGTGTGTGTGTGTGTGTGTGTGTGTGTGTGTATGAGGAGCACAGAAGTCAACTTCAGGATACCATCTTCCACCTTGCTTTTGGGACAGGGTCTCTCTCTAGCCTGAAGATTATCACTTAGTCTAGGCCAACTGACCAGTGAGCCCCAGGGATCCTCCCATCTCTGCCTCCCACTGGAATTATAAGCATGAGCCACCATGACTGGCTTTTTTTTTTAAAAAAACATGGATTCTGGGATAAAATTTAGGTTCTCCTGCTTGCAAAGCAAGCACTTTACTGAGCTATCTTCCCAACCCCCACTCCCATATACATATATATTTATGAAATATATATATTTCAGGAAATCCTGCCCCACTTACTATATGCAGGTTGCCAATATTGAATTGTTTTGAACCTGTAAAAATAATTCCATATGGTTCAATATAAAACCTGTGATTCAATACTTCCCATTTCTTCCCAAGACTATCTATATGACATATCTAATCAAAACTTGGTTTCACACCAAATGATTTCTGCAGTATTTGCCCAGACACAAATAAAAGAAAAAAACATCATTAGCACAGGCTTGTGCTTGTTTGACACCTTCCAGTCAGATCGTCAGGAAAATGAAATTAGAAGGCAGTATTTCCAGACTTGAAGTGGGAAAGGTTTACTGCTTAGTCAGCAGCAGAGAAAGTCCTACTCTGTACAGCATACAAATGTAGCAGCAGAGAAAGTCCTACTCTGTACAGCATACAAATGTAGCAGCAGAGAAAGTCCTACTCTGTACAGCATACAAATGTAGGAGCCCAGGTGGCCAGCAGACCCAGGGTCCTAACAAACAAGCTGTAATCCACTTTCTAATCCACTTTCTCCTTAGATACTGGCCTCGAACCTATTTGCTACTAGTGGGTTGTGGATCAAACAATGCTTTTACCTCTTTCTCATTTTATTTTTCCCTGGTACTTACTGGTACCCAATACTGATGGAGTACAATGTAACATTTCAGTACACATACATAATTTTTAATGACTAGATCAAGGTCATAGGCAGACCCATAATCCAGTATTTATCATTTCCTGAAATTATCAGTAAATACAATTCTGTAGGCACCGAGGAAAAGGGAAGAGAAGGGGTTGAATCAGCCAGAATCAGATAGTTATGAAAATGTAGGCTGAGTGCTTTGGCAGAGGAAGCTGGCAGTGGGCAGCAGTCTCTGGGCCCAGCAAGCTGCCTGCTCTATGAAAGCATTAGCATCCTCTGCCATAGTTCATTCATAGTGTGAATTGGTGTGTGTGTGTGTGTGTGTGTGTGTGTGGGTGGGTGGGTGGGTGTGTGTGTGTGGGTGTGTGTGTGTGTTTACATCATACATGTGTATACAGGTGTATCTGGGAATACATCTGGTGGCCAGAGGTCAACATTGGGTGATGTTCCACTACATCACAGTAGCTACAAATCCCCTGGCTCAGATTCACCCAGAAAACCTCACCTCCATGAAGTTTCTCTCCTTTGACTGCAAAGGAAATCAGAAACTGGAAACTTGCATTTCTCTTGTTTGGTCCTCTCCCCTAGGTGGGTTCTAAGCCAAGCTCAGTCTCCTGTCACCTCCTTCTGTCAGAGCAGGCACCAGCTTCAGCTGTCCTCTTGTGAATGCATCTCGGTCCTTTAATGCAATTCACTTGAGAAGGGGGCAGCCATTCCCTATTCCAGATTACTACCCCTCCCTCCACACCCTCTCCCCCTCTTCCTGTCTGTGTCTCTCATTCCCCTTGTCCTCTTTCTAGCAAGTATTGAGAATAAACCTACCTGATCAAAGCAGAGATTTACCTACATGTCATGTGGGGATGGATACCACAGCTTTCTTTCTCATGGTGAAAACAGATGGTCCTGGTATTTTCTTCATGATCTTGAATAGAACTGTGTTTAAAGTTCAGGTTTTCTTAAAAAACAAACAATAACAAAAACAAAAAAACTTTCTTTTCATTTTGTCTGTGGGTGTTCTTCCTGCATGTCTGTCTGTGCAATAAGTGCATGCCTAGTGCTCATCGAAGTCAAAACAGGGCATTAGATCTGTGGAGATACATTGTTTATGATTTGTTAAAGCTTGCCTGAGGATTCAAAAAGCAAAGTCAGCCACAAACTATAGAAGCCAGGCAGTGGTGTTGCACACCTTTAATCCCACCACTTGGGAGGTCGAAGTAGATGGATCTCTCTGTTCAAGGTCACCACAGCCTACACAAGAGTGAAGAGTAACAGAGCTCATGCCGTTGATCCCAGCACTTGAGTTCACACACCTTTAATCCCAGGACCCATGAGAGGTATTTAAGACAGGTACAGAGTCTCAGAACTGACATTCATTCCAGCCACATTGAAGACAGGAAAGCATTGGGATTAGAGTTACAGCCTGTTGTGAGCCACCATGTGGATGCTGGGAATTCAACTCAGGTCCTCTGGAAGAGCAGCCAGTTCTCATAAGCACTGATCCATATCTCCAGGCAGTGAATTCCACAATGCAATTGAGTGCACATGATTTAGGTACAAAGCAGATCACTTAGAATAGGACAGATAGTCACCTATGACTGCTCCTGAACCTGCCATGCACTGGGGCTAGTCCAGGTTAGCCCACATACAGAGCCATTCCAGTTCCAGGTGGTTTGTGATGCAGAGCACAGTGAGAAGTCCATCTGCCAAAGAATAAATGCAACAAATCAAAGAGGCAAGGACGGCTGCTTTGGAGCAGTAGGAAACAGGTACATAAACCAATTGAAGCAAGGACAGCTGGAATTTACTGCTATTCCCTCCCTGAACCTGCAGTTTGCCTGTGAGCTAGGATGCATGGCGACTGAGTCCAGGAATCCATCCAACTCTGCTGTTGCCACAGCTTTGGGATTACACACTTACAGCACCATACCCAGCTTTTATGTGGGCTTCAGGGTTCCGAATTCAGGTCCTTGCACTTGTTTAACAGGCTCTTTACCCTCCCAGCCATCTCTCCAGCTCCTGATTTTGCTGGGATACTGAGGATTGCGCTTTACTACTGAACTACATCCCTGGCCTGAAATCCTGAGTTTTAGAGTTTCTCTACTCCACTCTGGATCATGCTATTGTAAAAATGTCTATCTGCAAGTCATTATGAAAGGTTGGATGAACATGACAGCAAATCAATCTGAAAATAATGAGTTAATGTGGAACTTGTCTGAAAAGCTAGGTTTTCTGTGGGCTTATTTTTCTTGTTTTAAGATAATTGCTTCCAGGGAGATGTGTGCAAGAATGGTCACAATACCTATTAAAAGTGCATGTGTTTGGCAGGGTGCCATTTGTGTCAGAGAGTGGTGGGAACAGCCCAAGATGTATCAGCAGGAGAATGAGTAGTGAAAATCAATGAGCTTCTGAATCAAAGGGGACTAAGTATTGACAATTTTGAGGGAGAAAATAGACAAGAAAATTTAATACCATCCTACTAGAAGTGCAAAAATCTACAAAACAGTACCGCTTATTTCTAAGGAATGTGCACCACATGTAAATAGTTATTTTTAAATACTTGGTGTTGATGAAGGATAGAGGTTATCTCTGAGAACTGGAAAGAGTTATGGTTGAGGAAGAGACTTCATTTGTCTTTGATAATGCTTCATCTCTGAAGGAATTTAGACATGTACCCATTGTATCATACTCTACACCTTATAGCATGTCTTAAATGTCCTCATGCTGAGTTGGGATGGCCATGGAAAGACAATGCACACATTGGTCTGACAATTAGAGACACAAGCTCCATGAAGTGCCACCACTTTGTAGTGGCAAAGGATAAGGTTGACTTAAATGCTTGCTACCTACTGCCCAATTATAATAATGCCAATCCACAGAGCAGAACAAATAAAATCTTCCAATGTGCCACATTGCTTAAATAACTACTGCTGCAGGGGAGGGGACTGTTAGATGTGAAATTACTCTCATTATTTACCTCAAAGCCTGCCCCCACAGTGGCACACTTCCTCTAACAAGACCATACCAACTCCAACAAAACCACATCTCCAAATAATGTCACTTTCTATGAGATTATGGGGACCAATTACATTCAAATTACCACATTCCACTTTCTGGTCCCCATAAGCTTGTAACAGTATCATAATGCAAAATGCATTTAGTCCAACTTCAAAAGTCTCCATTGTCTATCACAGTCCTAATAATGTTTTAAAGTTCAAATTTCAAAGTCTCTACTGATATTTATGCAATTGCTTAAGTGTAATCCCCTTTAAGATAAAAATCAAAAAGCAGATCTCATATTTTCAACATTAACGACACAGGATATATATTACCATTCCAGAATGGAGGGAAGGGAGGCAGTCAATAGTAGGAATCGCCATGAGATCCCAGGAAGAGAGGATGCATGAGGCTGCGTCCTCAGTAAGATAAGACCTTATAAAAATATATATTAGTAGTTATGGGTTAATAATTAAGTCAGAGTTAGCCAATGAGAAACCATAGCAAACAGCCAACAGCTTCATAATTAATGTAGTGTCTCCATATGTTATTTGGGGGCTGAGACAGTGGCGGGATCCAGGCATCTGGCGGGAAGAATCATGATACAGACTCCCAGTCTATGAACTATATAATCTCGCTTTCATCATAAGTAGTCTCTCATGGGTTATCATCACCATGAAACATCAACATATCCATCGTGTGTACACACACATGGATGAAGGCAAGAATATAACTCATGTGTTTACTGCTGTGCTCAAGTTTCTGAAAGAACTTGGGACACAATTAGTCCGGACACTCAAGCATTACTTGGTGACCACTGTTGGATGTCGAGGGTGAGATACTCTATTTTAGCTTTCTCTCTTTCCCCTCCTCAATGCCAGGGTTGCATTGTTTGTATAACCATAAATTTTAAAGTGTATTTTCCTGCAGGTGGTCTCTATGTGAGACTTGTAACCTTTCCTACCTTTCTTGGCAGATCAGCCATGCAGAAGCTAGGAACAGAAGTGTTTGAGGAGGTCTATGATTACCTCAGGAGAGCAAGGCATCAGAAGGTCTGTGAAGCAGAGGTCCAGGAGCACCTGGAGACGGTGGTTCCTCGGGCTAGTGACTGCTTTGAAGTTGACCAACTCCTCTACTTTGAGGAGCAGCTGCTAACCACAGAGGGAAAAGAGCCCACTCTCCGGAGCCTTCACTGTGATGCTGCTCCCAGA